ACTCTTTCTTTCGAGCATAAGACCGCGGGCGACAGAGGCACTTGTCTTGGAACACGCGAATCATCGTCATCATGTCGATCGCGTTCTCTAGCTCGCATCGCAAGTCGCAAGCTCGCGTTGAATAACTCGTTCTTCCTACGCGACTCGTCGACCCCCCCTCCCCCCTTCACCCTCCCACGCTCGCAACTTCGCGACAACGACGACGCACGCATGCACGTGCGCTCGCGTCGCGCACTCCGAATTGAGCGAGATACAAGATACGACGCAGAAGACGGAGATGGAAGATGAAGATGAAGACGAAGAAAGAGGGAACGAGAGTGAGCGAGGGGGACGAGAGTCTCTTCGTGAGAGATTTACGCGATGCGTGTACGCGGGGAGACGCGAGAGGAAAGCGGAAGACGCGACTGACTGACATCGCCTCACAATCGGAGCGACCTGATAACGGCCGGGGACGCGAGTAAACGACGACGTCGTCGTCAAACGACGCCGTCTCGTACGATCATCATCGCGCGGCTACGTCCGCGCGCTGCTGCTACATGGGTCCGACCGCGTGCTGCTGAAATTGATCGAGGTGCCTCGAGATTTCGCGGTGCAGATGCTCGGGTAGCATGCTGACGTTGCCGAAGAGCGATCTGAGAACGTTGAGTTCCTCGGTGAGCAGTTCGATTCGCTTCTTCAGCAGATCGTTGTCTTTCACCAGCAACTTGACCTTCTCCTCGGTCTCGCGCGATCGCACCTTCGCCTTCTCGCGGCTCTTCCTCACGGCGATGTTATTCCTCTCCCGCCGTCGTCTGTACTCGTCGCTCGCCTTGTCGATGGCCTTGGTCTGTTTCCTGGCGACGTTGGCGGCGGCGTGATGTTGATGGGTTATTACCGGTCCTTTCATAGGGCCGCCCCGAGGCGGTGGTTGATGAATCGGCGTGCCGGGATGACTACCGGGTATCGTGGACGGTGCCAGGGTGGTGAAGGTTTGACCGCCATTGGCGAACGGATTGTTCGTCACCGGGCTGTAACCCGGTGGATACTGAGGGCAGTGGCGTCGATAGTCCGCCGGGTCCAGCGGCTCTTCCTTGATGCTGGGTGATTCCGAGCTCGAACTGTTACTATCGCTACAGCTACCCTGATGATAATTCGCGCCGCTGTGCACTGGCTGCGGCATGTATGCGAGGGTAGTGCGCGTGTTGTAATTGCCCGTTCTCACGTGCTTCACGCCGTTGGTGGCATTGAGCATGTCTAATAAACCGTCGTTGAAGTGGTTGTCGTCGATCAGATGCTGGAGGTCCAGCGAGATCTCCGGGGTGTTAAGGTCGGTGAGTTCACCAGCGGCGGCACAGTGCTCGGCGTACTGCTGATGCAGGGTCGCCTTGCTGGCGGAGACTTTGCTCACCACCGTGCTGTTCAACTGCTGGTTATGGTTATGATTGTGATTGATCTGCAGAGCGGAATTATTATTATTATTATTATTTGTCGCGGCGTTGTTGTTCTGATTACTGGTGTTGTTATTGAGCACCTGGGACTTCTTCAGATCGGCCGTACCCTGGGCCTGGGCCTGATGGGCCGCCGAATCGTACATGACCGGTGATTCCATTGTTCACTCGCACATCACAGATAGAAGGAGTCCTTTCACCACAACCACCTGTATGTCCGTCTATGCGTGCGTAGAAACTTCGTCTGGTCCACGTTCGTCTCTCGCTGTTTCTACTTTATTCTATCTTCTTCTTCTCTTCGGCCGTCGTATCGCGTGCTATGACATCCAAGGATGAAAGCCAGCAGACGTGAGAGAGGATATCTCTCGGCATGAATCTACTACCGCTCATCCACACCGTCACCGTCGCGGATAATAAATGGACCTTCGTCGTTTCCTCGAAACCGCGCGTCGTAGCTTTTGACACTGTTCCAAGTACTTAATGGCTATAACGGATTATATATTCCTAGATCACGAAGACCTCGACGGTCACAGGTTCCGTCTGTCGACAATGTTGTCTCGTTTAACTTTAGTCGCGTGTTCGGCTACGCGTCAAACACCGTTTACTAACGCCTACACGCACAACGATTCCGATTACTATATACCTCTTGTCTCTCGCAATCGAAATACACATGAGAGAGACGGTTAAAAAGAGAACGAGAGAGCCCGGATACGGTAATACAATCCGCATGAGAGTTAGCGCGCGACTGTTCGCCTCGGCGGCATGTTACAAGCTTTCAATGTGGCCCGCGCGACTGTCCCTCATTGCGCTTGCGTGACGCTACGTTTCTCCCGCACGTTCCTCTTTACGTTCGGTCCCCTCCGAAAGAGGACCATGAGAGAGGAGGAGGAGGAGGAGGTAAACGCTGAGCGTCCTCCGAACCGCGCTCCTCCTCTCGTCCGTCATCGCGCACGCTTGTACGAGTTAGCTCCCGTTCTCCCCCGCTCCTTGCTCTCCTCCGGGCCCTGTTTTATTTCTAACTCTTGCTCTCGCTTTTTTCGCTCTAATTTTTTATATATTTTTTTAATTAGTTTATGATAGTCTTTTTCTTTTTTGAAGAGAGAGAGAATATTGCGTAGTTTTTTAATATTGTTTTCTTTACTGAATCTCAGAAAGTATGAAAATACACATTGGCAATGATTTAAAAAATATATTTATAGAGAATTATTAAAGTAAAAGCGAAATATGTATATTACATCAGCCTTACGTTCCTGAAAAAATAAACCAGAATACTTGGACGTATTCTGCAAAAGTCTAAAAACCAAAACATGCATGCTAAGTAACGTACAAGTAAGAATAATTAAAAATTGATGTTTATATTTACGTGATGCGATAAATAGATGTACGCATATATATCTTTTTAATGCGTGACATGCAATATAGCACACGACGCATTGACAATAGTGTAAAAAAAATTTCTCACATATACTTTGTTTAAAATCTAGAGTATTACATATACTTAATAACGTTATCTCTCTGAAGAAAAATAGTTTTATGCATCGGAAACTTCAGAGCACATCACAAAAGATTAAATTAATGATTAAACGACCGAAACGCAGGGAGAGATGGACGGAGCGAGTGAGATGATACGGAGGCGAAGAAGGAAACAGAGACCAGGCATCGCGCGTACGTTTCATATCAAAATATATTTGTGCATAGACAAGATGACCGTGATCTGTGACAGGTAATCTCGTACCCTAATATCATACGTCAGTCATACATCAAGGCACACCGTGCCATACGTCCACATTCACCCGCTACACGCCGTAATCGCGCGCCTTCGCATAATTAAATCGCTCGCGCGCGGATCCACATATGATACATGCAATCGTGATGAATGCACGTATATGCCGGCTGCTGCTGCTGTCACTGTGTCGTAGGCATCGGATTTACATATGAATGAAGATGAAGTTCTGTTTCATATGACGGTAAACTTATAATAGAACAATCAGGTATGATTCGGCCTCTCTCTCTCTCTCTCTCTTTCTCTCTCTCTCTCTTGCCACTAATAAAATATGCAATTACAACAATTCGTTTGATTTGTTTGTTTTCTAACTCTTGCTCTCGCTTTTTTCGCTCGCTATCTATGCGCCTCTCTCTCTCTCTCTCTCTCTATCTCTCTCTTTCTCTCGTTTTCCTCCGATTTTGATCCTTTTTTTTCATCTCTCCCTCTCTGTCCCCAACGCGTTTCGACCGCTTTTTTCTTCGCGTTTCCCCCTTCGCTCCTCATCCGATTCCGTCAAGCGTCGTCGCGCGTTCTTTTTTCTCTCTCTTTCCTTCTCTCGCCCTCCCTCGTGCTCTCACATGCTGTGGTCCCGTCACGGTTCCGCGCGACGGAAAAAATTTTCCGGCGTTTGATTCTCTCGATGCCACATACTCGCGCGATGCCATGCGTACGAAAGGTGGCTCTCTTTCAACTCGCGATGGGTGCACGGATTTTCCACTCGAAAATTAATTTTTATGATCAGATTATTCGTCATTAATTACTACATGAACAATTATCGAATCGATAGCATATATAATCGAACTTGGATCAAACACAAAAGTTCCGGGATACACGCCAATTATATTCAATTGTTATTCAAACATTCTATATCAAAAATGTATTGTATTATACATTAATATTTCATATATGTATAATACAATAAACATCATGTATTGTGATATTATATGGTATCTATAGTTATAATCGGTACTTTAAATGCGATTAACAATATGTTGCAGCCGATAGGAACATATGTCACCGTTTGCACGATATTGCGCAATTGACAGTAACCAATTGAGCAGAAATCTTTCGTTGCACTTATTTCCCTCTGTTAAAATTTTTGGGAATTTTGCGATGAAAATGATCTTCATGATTGTCAAGTATCGCATCTTACTTTAGTTGGCAAAGGTTTAATTTGAATTTGAACAAGATTTATAAGCGCTATTAAATAACACTAATGAGAATAAATTCGCGGAAGAGCTATATAATTATTATTCATTAAATTCTAGACATGATAATCAAGATTTATAATGAAGAATGATTTACGTCGCCAGATTTTCGCATTTTCTTTAAGAAATTTGCGGTTGTTTTCGCAAATCTCTTATGTTGGAAAAAACGCGAAAATCTGGCGATCGTAATTCGTTTATTAATCCAATTCAATAATAATCGCGTTAAATAATCGTTCGTCATAAATCTTAATTATCATGTCTAGAATTAAATAAGAAAATGTGTACAATATATGTATATTTCAGTTCCTTATTTATACTTGAGCTTTGACTACTTTATCGACTTTCAAACTTTTAAGATATTTATCTTTACTTTCTCCGGAATTGCCTCGGAATTTTTCTTCAGCTTTTTGTATCGTTTATCCTTATTTAAGTATTTATTGCTGACTCAGCTTAACAAGAAATAATTTTTTTCAAGACGATTTCTACACGAGATACGTCGCGAGTAGACAAATCATTGTTGCGTCATATTTCGATTGTTTATCAACATGGATTTTTATCTTTAATATCGTGCGCGTATAGTAGTTAGATGTGCGTTGATCTACGAGCCAACGCACGCATAAGCTATACTCGCTTGTATCAATACTTCTGTCGCTATCAAGGCGGAAAAAAAGACAGAAACAATTTTTTTGCGCGATTGGCGTCGAAATTAAGATCGTATTAATATTCTTTTACTGGGACCACTAATCATAAACTCTCTCTCTCTCTCTCTCTCTCCCCCTCCCCCTCTCTATCTTTCTTGCTATATACATATATGTATATCACTACGTACATTATATAACAACGGGATACGAAACGGGAATAAGAGACCTAATAATGCGTTATCTCATCATATTTTTTGCTTTTTCTTAATTTTTTTATTCTTTCTCGCTCTCTTTATATTTGATTTTTCCCTCTATTAAATGAGAGCATTTCTGTTCTGTGCATGAAGCATTTTTCTCGTATATAACGTTTCAGAAAGAATTAATTAATTTCTGATCCATTGTTAATAATTATCACACATCCAAAAGTAATAGAGTAGTAACAGTTTAGGAAAATAAATTATGAATATTATACATACTTCATGTGCTATATATATTTTGTAAATTATATAGCTTTTGCATGAAGTTAACTTATTACTACTAGCTTTAAAATATTATTAAAATTTATTATATATAATCTAACATTATTTATTTGTTGCCAATTTACGAGATTAAGAAGCTTAAAGGTAGATTTTAGCGTTTATAAGAGTTTTGTAAGCATACATATATATTTTAAAATAAATATTAAAATTCTTTTAATTATATCGCGCGATAAAGAGTAAAAGTAACATAAGATCGTTAAACATAGCCTAACTTGCTAAACTTCAATGAATAGATTTTTTTATATCTTTAAGTTTTGTTTCTAAAGAGACAAAGAACAAGAAAGGCAGGAGAATCAATTATTAATTAACTTTAACTAAGATTTATGAGATTGTACAAGATATCGATATGAAATACTCATGAAATTTACGACTTACCGAAATTTGCTCGCGAACGCGCAACGACGAGAATTCCGCGACTGCGATCGCGTCAGTCGCGTCATCTAACGACACGTTCGCGAGCAATTTCAGTCGGTACAACATACGCGGACCGACCTCTACCGGAAAGACTCGAGCCTGACCGAATTTCCCTCGTCGTGATATTAGTCACAACAAAAAAATCGTGGTGATCGCGCAAAAAGTTTTCGGCGCTGCTTATTTTTCGCGTCCCCTCGGCAGCAAGGTGCTGATCACAAACACGTCGGCGCCCCGTCCAGGATTCGTCGACGACGCGAAGTAAGCGATACCGGCTCCAGAAATTCGTCCTCCGCGTCGCGCTCGCGACATTAAATCCCAATGTGTTGTGGGCCGTGTGTTGTGTTGGGCCCGTGTGCGCCGTTTGATGGGACGGGCCGACGGACGCACGCGTGTTGTGATAAAACGCGCGATTTAACGCTCATTCGATATCCATTTTTACGGTTAATTTCGCGTTAATTCGCCCGTTCGCGAGATGATACGCTCCGCTTCGCAGCGAAGCTCGGCCGATCCGCGTCGTCGCGTCCCGCTCGCTCGCTCGCCGAGATATCCCCTGGCTTAACCTACAAGGGTACCTGGCGCGAGGACCTTTCGCGTTTGCACGTTTCAAGAAAGTTTGTTCTTCCGCATTATTTTCCCCCTCTCTATCTTTCTTGCTATATACATATATGTATATCACTACGTACATTATATAACAACGGGATACGAAACGGGAATAAGAGACCTAATAATGCGTTATCTCATCATATTTTTTGCTTTTTCTTAATTTTTTTATTCTTTCTCGCTCTCTTTATATTTGATTTTTCCCTCTATTAAATGAGAGCATTTCTGTTCTGTGCATGAAGCATTTTTCTCGTATATAACGTTTCAGAAAGAATTAATTAATTTCTGATCCATTGTTAATAATTATCACACATCCAAAAGTAATAGAGTAGTAACAGTCGATCGAACGTGCATTTTCACGAGCTTCTGTTAATTAAACATTACTTCCGTTTACTTTATTTGATCTCCTTATCTTTATTTTTTTTTTTTTACATAAACGTATGGAAGGCAATTCTGGTCTGTTTACATGATTGACATTGACTAATGTTTTGATTTTATCTTATTTGCAGACTGCACAATTACGTAGGAGTTATAGGGCAATATCAGCATTCACAATGGCGGGAGAACAACAGCAGTTTTTTCTTAAATGGAACGACTTCCAATCGAACATGGTGTCGTCGTTCAAACACCTGCGAGATGAAAAAAGTTTCACGGATGTGACATTGGCTTGCGATGGTCAAACTTGCAAAGCGCATAAAATGGTCTTGTCCGCCTGTAGTCCTTACTTCAAATCCTTATTAGAGGTATATTGTTTATGTTACAGTAAGTGATGGAGAGAATTTAAATATTGTATAATTAAACTAATTCACTGCCTTGATATATATTACAGGAAAATCCGTCCAAACATCCTATTATAATTCTAAAGGATGTCGCATACAGCCATTTGCAAGCCATTCTAGAATTCATGTACGCAGGTGAAGTGAATGTTTCACAAGATCAGTTACCAGCGTTTCTCAAAACAGCAGACCGGCTTAAAGTTAAAGGACTAGCTGAAGCTCCTGGTGCCATTAAGAGAGAAGGTTAAAGATACGCACGTAATTATGGTATGCTTTGAGATTTTATTTGGTTAATCTTAGACAAATTGACAAGAGTATCTTTAGCATATAACTTTCTTACCATTTTTCACAATTATGCGTGTTTGGTGATTTAATTTAATCGCATGTATATAATTTATGTCGTATGATAAAAGGGAATCACTTAGTCACAATATTTATTTAATAACAAGAAAGAGAATTACTTAACTGCATTTATTTAATAAACAATATTAATTTTGGGATTATACGTTCATACTGCATAAGAGTTCATTGTTTGATTATTGATTGTACAAATCTATTTTTATTTTTGGACATATATATTGTACATATAAAATGTACGACCTTATTCTATGCGCTATTACCGCATATATTGAACATGCAAAATAAGAGCTAATTTCTAAAAAGGCCAATTAAATCATTACCTTGTGTATAATATGTATATATGACTATTCATTGACGTACAGACAAATGGGGCAAATGTAAATCTTTTTTGCAGGTCTTTGAAAAGCTGGACTGAAAAAAAAAAGAAACAATGTAATAATGTAAAGTGATTGCGCAAAACACACTCCACACAACATAAACACACGATAAGACACATACATGAATGCATATATATATATATATTTTATATATAATATATATATTATATATATAGAGAATTCCGCGACTGCGATCGCGTCAGTCGCGTCATCTAACGACACGTTCGCGAGCAATTTCAGTCGGTACAACATACGCGGACCGACCTCTACCGGAAAGACTCGAGCCTGACCGAATTTCCCTCGTCGTGATATTAGTCACAACAAAAAAATCGTGGTGATCGCGCAAAAAGTTTTCGGCGCTGCTTATTTTTCGCGTCCCCTCGGCAGCAAGGTGCTGATCACAAACACGTCGGCGCCCCGTCCAGGATTCGTCGACGACGCGAAGTAAGCGATACCGGCTCCAGAAATTCGTCCTCCGCGTCGCGCTCGCGACATTAAATCCCAATGTGTTGTGGGCCGTGTGTTGTGTTGGGCCCGTGTGCGCCGTTTGATGGGACGGGCCGACGGACGCACGCGTGTTGTGATAAAACGCGCGATTTAACGCTCATTCGATATCCATTTTTACGGTTAATTTCGCGTTAATTCGCCCGTTCGCGAGATGATACGCTCCGCTTCGCAGCGAAGCTCGGCCGATCCGCGTCGTCGCGTCCCGCTCGCTCGCTCGCCGAGATATCCCCTGGCTTAACCTACAAGGGTACCTGGCGCGAGGACCTTTCGCGTTTGCACGTTTCAAGAAAGTTTGTTCTTCCGCATTATTTTCGTTAAAAGCCAACATTTGTCGCGATTGATTCAAGTTGTCGTGCGAGCACGTTTTTCACTTTATTCTAATAGTTTGCGATCGAACGTGCATTTTCACGAGCTTCTGTTAATTAAACATTACTTCCGTTTACTTTATTTGATCTCCTTATCTTTATTTTTTTTTTTTTACATAAACGTATGGAAGGCAATTCTGGTCTGTTTACATGATTGACATTGACTAATGTTTTGATTTTATCTTATTTGCAGACTGCACAATTACGTAGGAGTTATAGGGCAATATCAGCATTCACAATGGCGGGAGAACAACAGCATATATATATTATATATTATATAAAATGAACACTACATGTGCACAACCCAGTATCCTCTGGTTCATGACTTGGATCAACATATGTACGATGACAATGTAAAATAATGCCTTTTTCTTAATCTCATTTAATGTTAATAATTGTACTGACAATATGACAGTACACTTAAATAGAGACGAGATGTTGATGTTTGTCTTGAACCCATTACGCCACATTGCAGCGGCAACAATAACACAACAACATTGATTATTTTTTTAAAATAAGGCGCCGCGAGGCGCGAATAAGTGGGTCGCGATAGTTTACAATATATGCTGACCGGGGCAGTCTTGATAGATCAAGTTGGAAATGTCGAGGACACCTGTTACAACGCCCGTTTTTTCAAGCCGATCTACTTGACTCACAGCACTCCTCTATCGGTTCCATTTGGTAGATCTATTCACGAAGTAGCTTTATCTCTTTTGCCTTTGTCGCGTGTCAACTTATCACTTATCGTGAAGCTCATTCGAGGTCTGTGCAGACTGTCGAAATGAAAGTCTCTTTCGCATCTTTTTGATAGATATCTACGTATACTGCATTCATTTTCGTGAAATATTTACCTGACAATGAAATAACGATCATAAAAGTAAGCATACGATTATGAAGATTTTTCTTTAAGAAATCGATCGTATAGGGCATTAATGATTCTATTTCGCATTATATTACATATAAATGATAGTTGAACGAAGGAAAGTATTTCATTGACATCCAATCGGGAAGTTGTGCTTCTGTCGTGGATAGATTTGCGAAACCTCCGACAATTAAAGAATATCAAATCAAGTTTGCTGGAAGTAGTAACGTGCGTGTTTACGTCATTCAATACAAATTTCTTTCGTCAAATTTGCGAAATGACATTAAAACAACGTATTTGTGCGTGTTTGCGCGAAATGTAAAAAAATAAGTATGAAATACTTACGAGAAGAATTGTTCTTGCAATATCGCAATCGATCCCGTACAAGTTACCTCTTCTAGTGATCATGATTTTTACTTAACCAAATACTGCCAGTATTTGTACCGGCGTATTCACAATATTACCGATAGACCAAATTTATTTATGATAATAATATATTAAGGGTTGAAAAAAAATGATGTGTGTGTTTTAAATCGAGGGAAGGTTATTGTAATATAAGCGAAGTAAATTTTTGTAAAGTCGGAGCGCACAGTTCCTTTTCCCTCCCGACAACCAAGACGCTCGAAAAAGTTTAGGAAAAAAGTCAGGAAACATTATCGAGTCAAGGACACAAAAATTGATGTATTATAGAGATATTTTTCCTCTTGTCTCTATATGAAATATTTTAACATTATTCGGATTTCATTCTTTGTTACTTTCATATTTTACGACATTATATAACAGTTTTCATTAGTTTTGTTTATTGCTAAATAAGTCTGCGCTCACGATTCCTGGCTAGGTGTTTTTTAAAATTATACATTGAGAATCTCTATAATTATATAAATTTTTCTTGCGATTTAATTATTTTTGTGCCGGATATGTGAATTTATTCCAACACTCCAATTTTTACATGAATTATATGGAATTAGCACGAGTATACTCCTATGGACACTGTATTTTGGATCGTACACATTCATCGAATGTCAATCATATCCCGCAAATTATGAATTAACGCATTATTTCCTATCGATTTTGCTTCGGATGTTTCTGTGATTAACACGTGAGACCGCTCTGAAAGCGTAGGTTGTCAGAATGGTCCGTCAAAGAAATATACAGATTTCGATAATACATATATCAACAAGAACAAATTCTGATAATCAACCGGGACCATTCATGTGTAAGCAACATTAAAACGAAGTTTGAAATATAAAAATAGTTGGCAAACATTTGGGATCTTTCTTCTCCGAATAAAAATGTTTAGTTATTTGACCGTCTTTACACTTAATCAATTTTCGCAGTCATCCGATAGCAATATCGTGTAATAGATATCCGACATTCATTCGCAGTATTTAAGGCGGCGTTAAATGCCTCAAGATGAATGGGTTCAGTTCCTACAATAATAGTTTGCCGGGCATTTGGTGGCTGAATGTGAATAGTTGTACCATGTACATTTGCTATGCTGTAAATTTGGAGTACAATTATTGTAGAATAGAAAATCTCACATATAGGAGTGACCGTTCGTGCTAAGTTCACGATTATATCATAAGCCCTTTTTCGTTACATTTCTTGCTTTATCTCCAATTTCCGTACTCCCATTTTCCGTACTCTCCACATTGAAAACCGTAAATTGATTTCAAATCGATTGCCTTTTAAAAGTTATCGGGATGAATTCTCTTCCTTCATCCGCCTCTCCTCTCCTTTGTTGCATTATTTTTATTATCCGTCATTCCTATTATCTGTTCCTGCCAAAATTCAAATCTTTGTTAACATTACTTTTGCTATTATGTGACTCGATGATGATTATAATATGATGAGATGATGTTGAGATATAAAATAAATTATGTAAATATATCATTTTCGCGTAACTATTTTTATTGCTCCTGCAATAAATCTCTCTTTAAGCGTGCTAACCATGGTTATAAACACAAATACAAAAAAGATATGTGTATTCCAAAATTATAATATTTTTCATTATACATAATACGTATTATTTATTCGACGTAATACATTCGTACAACGATATATTCATAATCGTAAGTAGAATATGTTATAAAGAGTATAAAAATATACATAGTTACAATTTATACGTAAAAAACTAATATTTGAATATATTATATGAGATAGTAGCGATCAGAATCTGCATTTTTCTAGCATTTTTCTTGCTTCTGCATTCTGCATTATGGGGCAAGTGCGTCAAATAGAAAAAACTTTGTCGGTGATATGGGATATATTCCTCTCTCCGCTTTATCTGTGCTTATTTTTCGAATGGATATTTCATCTTATTTTCTAGGTGAATCTATGGAATAAAATATACGTAGGTAGGCGCGTCGTTTTCAAAATAATATAAAGCATTTAGAAGTAACTCTATGTTTCATTCTTACAAGATGTTGGAAAATTAAAGACTGGATATCTTGGTACGTGATAATACATATGTCAACAAGAACAAATTCTGATAATCAACCGGGACCATTCATGTAATTATTCGTGTAAGCAACATTAAAACGAAGTTTGAAATATAAAAATAGTTGGCAAACATTTGGGATCTTTCTTCTCCGAATAAAAATGTTTAGTTATTTGACCGTCTTTACACTTAATCAATTTTCGCAGTCATCCGATAGGAACACCGTGTATATAATTATATTAATCTTTAATACTATTCGCTCTTTGCATACATTCTTCATATGATGGCGGCGCTAGATAAAGATAATAATTTCTTAAAATTATTTTCCTTTGTACACACACATAACACATCATAAACTGATTAAGATAATAATCTTCCAAAATGAAATCGTGCGATATTCGTTTATACGGTACAAAATACGATCTGATATATATTTATTTTTAAGATTAATTATTAATTTTATAAAATGATTGTGTGTGTAATGAAACTTTATTTATAAAAAAGTGGCATCTACTCACGTATGTCCCACTGGTTAGCCGAAGTGCTAGGTTGATCTAGCAGAGACAAAACTTATGGTTTGAGGTCGTGAATAAGGCATATTTGGTGGAGCATAGTCTGGAGACATCGGCTTTGGCGGAGGAGGGTCATCATTGTATTGCATCATAGGAGCTGTAGGCTGTATGGTTTGTGTACGAGGTGGTACGTAAAAATTCTCGAAATTTAGAAACCGCGCTCGAATCAGAAGTAGTACTTCAATGTGCCGCTAGATATCGTCTCTAGTATCAGTCCGCGTTTGTTTACATTGTGCGTTTTTGTAAGGTTATGTTTTACAATGGCTGAAATAACTGACTTGAAAGAACAGAGTTTGTTTCAAACTTGGCAAAACGGCTGCGGAAATTCATCAAATATTAAAACAAGCTTTTGGTGAGGAAGCTATGGGTCAAACCCAAATGTATGAGTGGTTTAAGCATTTCAAAAACGGCATCCGTTGAAGATGACGAACATTCTGGGCACCCTTCAACTGGCATCAACGATGTAAATGTTGCCAGAGCTCGCAAAAAAATTCACGAAGTCCATCGTCAAACACGATTACTTCGAATGAGATGAAAGCCATTAATTTTTTATGTAAGTGTATGATTTTTAATAAATACATTTCGGGAACTTTTGGGTAGCACCTGAGATACAGATGAAATTATTGAGCGCAGTGGGATTGTGTCTCGATAAAGATCGAATAAGTCTTGGTAATACTGTAATGCCTATCGCAGAAATTAAATTGATTTTTTAACAAATCGTCAATCAATATAATTTCATTTTAATTTAATTAGAATTTTTAATTAGAAAACTTAAAAAAGAATTCTCGAGTTGTTTATGTTATCGAGTTATTCGCAATCACATATTTTTAAATTCTTTAAAATTATTAGAGATTATTTTACAGGTACTTGCAAGAAATTTGCCTATTTTTAATATATATAAATTAAAATGCATTGATTATACTGTGCTTTTGAGAAATATATACATATATTCCTGAAATGTGAATTATAATGCACATATTTCTGATCTATTATGTTGCAATATTCCAATTAGAATGGTGATATCAGTGGAACTAGTAATTGTGACAAAATTTTTTACTTTTTTATAGCGCATATATAATAAATAAACATAGTAATATATAGACCCTTATATTTGAAAATTTTGCTAATGCACGCATGCTTCTCATTGTTATAAAATAATTTTATGAATGAGTTTATTGCTATATTTTATGTGCTATTATATTGCCAAGATATCAACTATACACAAGATATAAATAATTATATACATAGATGTAGGTTTTATAATTAACATTTTACATACATTTAAGTTACAATACTATCACAATCAATAAAAATTGTAATAGAAGAAACAGGAAATTGGGGATAAAGCAACCATATACATATATATACTAGTTAAGTGAATGAAGTTATTTATCAATTTATTTGATTGTATGCATTATATTTGAATTAGAGAAAACAAGAGCATTTTATTTACATGATTATTATTGTAGGTTTTTCTCACTATTATAAAGAAATCGATAGTTTAATGCTGAATAATGAAAAAAGTGGAAAAACTCAATCGGCATATCCTACTTTTTAGTGTTCCACAAATTCTGTAGTGTATAAAAAACAATTAGTTATAAAATTTTCCTTGATTAAAATGATTAGAAGTACTACGAAATAGTTACAAAAAAATAATATAATATTACAAGTTTAATATGTTGAGATAAGATTGTAAGTTTTGTACATAATGCATTTCTAGATGACATTTGTATATGCGCGTGTGTGATATAGAAACGTATAGGATTTTACATATAAAAAGTGTAATAAAAAAAATATATATCCGTTATTATATATAAAATGTGCGTGTAAAAATTACTTTAATAAATTATTGTGCTACTTATCTAATTATATTTTCTTAATATTTTACCGATTTTAAAAATTTGAATTTCTACTGTTCGAATTTTCAAATGTATATAATATTCTAGGAATTCTCGGAATTTTAATTAGTGCCGTTTCAGCATTATCCTGTATTATTATATATTATCATCAATGAAAATAAATGAGTATAAACAAACTTATTGACATATGATTAATAAACTTATTAGCATATTTCTTTCATGTCTTGATAAAATAAAAAGCGTTGCGTCTTTTTTTTTATACATGATGATTATTAGGAAGGTGAAAATTTTTTAATATGGAGTGTAAGCAACTTTTACATTTTTACGTTTTTACATTTGTCTCGATAATCAGAGCACTTATATTTGATATAAATCACAATAAAAACATTTTATCTATACTATTAACATAGATAACTATCGCAATTGTAACAAATGTAATTAAATGTGTGTCTTCATTCTCTTAAAACATTTTTTACAAAGAAAAGTGAACAAATTTACTCCGCATTTTGATAATTAAAAGAGATTAAAAGATTTAACGAAATTATAGAAAAGATGATATATCGCAATATCATTCTGCTACTTTAGCTATATGTTTCTTTAATATCGCATAACATCAAATAAGATATTGATCATCGATTATTTGATGATACAAGTCTTGTCTACATTTTGTTATTTAAGAGCGACGATAACTATATTTCATTTATAGGAGAACATATATACAAGATTAACGCCATTTCACGGGATGCACCATAAGTCATGTATTTATAGACACAAATAATCTTTCTATTAAAAAATTGTTATTGAATGATTTATTTGACATTTTTATGTCACATCTCTTTTGAGCAACATTTTTCGATCTTTTATATTGAAAAATAATGGTTGTTCATTATTTTGTTTCTTTCCTTTCAAAATTTTCCTCTCTTAAATTATCATTTATTTTAAAAACGATCCTCTTTAGTTTCGAGGTCATGCTGCATTTTAAATGATTTTAATGATTGAATATATTAAATATTATTTATTTATATACAAAAAGATTTTACTACGAAAAATATTTCGTCACAGATATGAGATAGCGAATCTGTCAAGATGTCTTTTGATTAATCCTTAATCCAATTTAGAATTTTTTTCGCTGGGTGTATATGTTATAAACTGTTTGATTTTATAGTATATGTCTGTCTCTGTTACAATAATTGAACATTAACAAAGAGTATCCTCGATATTAATCGCCTTTTAAATATTAGATATGAGTAAGAATAATAAATGTTCTCTCTGTACACACACACAAAAAAAAAAGAAAATATATTTGTTATATATTAGAGTAAATATTATTTTATATATAGAATCACAATTTTATAAAATCAAATTGTTTAATAATGCAATATTTTTGTACTCATGATATTTAATAATCTTATAATGATTAGTGTTGAATTCTATGCAAGTATCGGCGTTATAAAAACATGCAATATATCGTTCAAGCATTAATATTACATGAATAATATTATTGTGAATAATATTCACAATTTCTTTATGAAAAATATAAATCAAAAAGGCAAAAATAATATTGCAAATTAAGGGTTAATACCTTTAATGCAAATTATTTTTAGAAAATTCAATGAGGGAGAGAAATACATCATTAACTTATATTTAAAAAATAGTAATTTTAATATATCTAAAGTTTCGTGAATATAAATGTTTTGTAGAGCATTATTGTTTAATTAATTTGAAAATAAATGAAAATAATCTCAATAAAATTGGAAGTGTTGCCTATTAACAATGTTTAAAGATTTAAGTATTTAAGTATTTTCTCGTATTATTAAAACTTATAGTACAATAAACTTTATCGTACCGTTTAAGAGGGAAAATATTAACAAATTGAAGAACTTATTTATAATTTCTTAAATTTAAAAATTATTTCGGATTATTGAATGTTTCGCACGCTTAAATTGTTGTGTATTCTCATACCTTCAAATTATTCAACAGTTGTACATATAAATCTTTATTTTATTTACATAAGTTGTAAGGTCAACTTGAGCTTAAAAATTTATTTCATCAAATGTTGCACCTCTTTTTCTCGAAACATCGTATAATATTATATTCAATTGTTAAATAACTAATAAACATTCCCGATAATCATCGTTTTAACGTGCAAAATTGTTTGCACGTTAAAAAGCTCATATAAATAAAGAATTACTTCTCGTGCTATCGGCATCTCATCATTCCATATAATCCTTAACACAATTTAACATACTTATGGTCCATCCAGTATAGAACCTACATACCTACATATTACGCGCAACAGACTCACAAAATGTGTATGTATGTATGTGTTGTGTAATTTTATGAACAAAATTTAGACTCTTGCACTTCCAACAACTTCGTTAAAGCTACATACAACAGCAGTAAGAGATAAATAATCATTACAATAAAGACGTGCGTGTACACGAACATCAATAACGAAATTAACGACAAACGCAGCGAAATAATCTGCGAAACGGGAGGAGGGGGAGAGGGATACATACATGCATATATATTTATGTTATTTATACTTATTATATACGTATATATACACAGGGGCATTATGCATAACAGTATATATATAACATATATATTGTTATATATATACATATATAACAATAATTCCTGGTCCAATGAATATTAAGTAATTGTGTAAACGGGTCAGCGTGTTCCTTAGATATGTACAAAACGAAAGTCGCGAAATTTCGCATCGAGACTCTATGGCCTTCAACGTAGTTGTTGTCGAAGATCGATTCGCGGTTAAATATATTTAGCGACTAACATATTTCGTTTCATTACGAGATAGAGACCGATATTTTGACGACGGGGAAACTCTCTAAAATTATCGCAGATTTGTAGATAAATTTTTTAACTACTGTGTACGATACATCGACATTATGAATGAATTGTGCTCGCTCGCTTGCATGATACCACAAATTAGAGATACACAAAGTTCTGTATTAAATAAAGCTACAAAATTACGTGAACTACTTTGTGGAATATATTATTGATAAAATAATGTTGAAAAATGTTTGTAATATTGAAAATAAAATTAATATTTCTCAAAATTGATGCCGTCGATATATCGATGTTGGAGACTTCAATTGCAGTGAGATATGTATTGTAGGATTTTTGATATAAAAATTTTATGTAATAAAATGAAATTAATGACAAAAATATAAATTTTTTTACATAGATTATTAAATATATTGTAGAGAGTATTAATTTTGTCATAAATTTAATTAAAAAACGTAAAACATTAAAAATGTTAGAGTTTAGCTTCATAATTTTAATCGTTTTCCATTTAAAAATTATTATAGCCTCTATATCTTTATATGAGGATATTCGTCTTAAAATGTTTCAAAGAATCCGTCATTAAAAGAGTACCTAATGATTTCAGCATATTTTATATAATGGATAAAAAATATTTCTACTTTCTCCATCTTTTTTAGATAATTTTATACTAAAAGATACCGTTGTGGAATATTTCAATGCATTATTTTCCTTTATATTGCCATATTAGATATAGATCACCATATTAAATATATATTGCAGAATATATTTCTCATCTTTGTATAACATTATTAAAAATAACGAGATGATAATGTACATATGGAAATATACATATTCATTTTTTTATATATATGACTATCTAAAAACGTGAAATTATTATCTTTGCTTCTTTTTTTCGACTGGTATTGATTACTACAATTTTAAGATAATTAAAATGATCTAAACTAACTTGGGATATTCAAGAAATTTTTTTTGCATAAAATTATGCCAACAATATTTCTTTTGTTTACTGCATGTTCTTTATTCAAACATGTAACATCGTTTCTATCTTTTCAAACAATGGATCGATATTCCGATTTTAAGATATCAATATGCTTAGGACGAATATTCCCATATCGCATAATCCGGATTTACTTAATTAACAAATTTAATGTAAAGTCACCCGCCGCCGAAGCGTCTAGATGTGCATGCAAAATTGAAAGAATGATCATTGTATTTGAAAATGAAGAAAATGACAAAAAAAAATAATCTCAAGAGGCAGAGGAAACGCCAAAGTCTATAGTCTTACTTTTCTCGCCTCGATATATTCATAAGCAATACTACTATTGTATAAGCAATCGTAGATACATTTCTCGATATGCCAAGGTATGTTTAGAAAAAAATACAATATTTTATTAATATAAACATACCTTTTTATTTATCGCGTATGGATTAATCCATACATAAAATTATCAAATTATTGCCCGCAACACTTTGCAACTACATTGCCGACAATAATTGGCATAATAAGCTACCCGCGTTCGAAATGTAATTCTAATTATCTTATAACTATAAATACTTACAAATCCATAAAACATACTTGTTTTATGAATCTATAAGTGATTGATATTGATCAATTACTACCGACAATACTCTTGATAATTATATCGTTGACGAATAATTGCTCTGAAAAACCATCATTATCAGTATATCATTAAAGATTATATATGAGTCTCAAGAATTATACTCGATGTTAATCAATTATTGCCACCAATAATAGTCGGAAGATGTATAGTTGACAATAATTGTCGCAAGAAGTTGTCACTTGGCAGAGCGTGTCTCTCAATGTACACTGTGAAATGTATCCAATCTAGGACAAAGATATTTGATTTGATTGCATATAGATTGTCTGTAAAAAAAACATAATATTTATTATGTTTTTCTTACACAGTATATATTAATTTCAATATTATTATGTATAGTATCAGAGTTCTTAATGAGGACTTCACGCACATATCTCTACATTATCTATATAAACTTATATTGCTTTGTTTAATTATTAACTACCTTGCCAGCTCTTCATAATTTATTATATTATGTTAAGAATTAGGAAAAAAAACAATAATAAATGAATATGTACACATATTATATTTATATATATATATATATATATATGGTATTTAAACAAATGTTATATCGCAGTCTCAATGTTCCAATTATAATTATTATAATTTCTGTATTTTATTATATACCTCAGTTTTAATAAATTAATTTTAAATTAACAGTTTATAAACATAGATGTCACTTTATATATATTTGATAAGATTTAATCAGTTTTTACTTCATATATTTTTTTTGTATCATATAAATGCGAAAAATTGTAATATTTTTATTTTCTATAAATAACATTATTTTTCTTTTCAATTGCTCGACCAAATAAATATTACGAAATTAAATCTAGTAAAATTTAAGAGTTTAGCAAGGATATATCAAGTAATTATTTCAAAACTGATATTTGGCGGAAATCCTTTTTAGGGTTAAATAGCTTCGTTTAGAAGAACGTAAAAGTTTTTTTGAAGTATTTTTACATTTAATTATACATTTAATATACAGGAATATGCTATAGATTATTAGATCTATATAAAAAATCCAGTCAGCTGGATACTTATAGATGAACATAATGAACCTTATACACTTGGTATTACATTATTAATATAGAACAATCAAATTTTTTGTCATAACATATATATAAAGTTATTTATGCTTTTATCTTTCTTTCTATACTCATTTTTTCTGTGTAAATATATACACTTACCAATATTTCCTTTAAATTTTAATACCAAATTAATGTACTCGAACTATCTCACAATCTGAAAATGAGAAAAAGAAAATGCAAATTGTGTATATATGTCTATATACAACCAAATACAATATTTTTGTCCTCCTGCATTGGAATAAATTCTATGTTGTGCGTTGTTTGCATGCTAGTTTCCTAAAGAGGGCGATACGCGGGGACACATTTATGACACATAACACAGTACGTTTAGTACGTATATGTAGAAAGAGAGTCGCTAAATGGCAGTAGGGAATAAACAAACTAATACACCGCTGTTTGTTCCCTCTCTTCAGGCACCCGAAAAGCCGTATACCTCCAACACTCTGATCTCGAAATCACCACTGGCACAGAGAGGTGGATTGTTAAAGGTCGAACATCGATCTGTCTTGCCGAATCTTATGTTTTCATCCATCCAGATCGCCTGACCGTCTCTGAGAATTAGAAACAAAATGATGGATCGAAACGGTGCGTTATAATAATTTGTTCTAAATCAATAATTTTACTTAATGAGACAGGAATATAATACTTTATAAGCAGAATTTTTTCAATAGAGTAATTTTCTATTTACAAGAGCAGTTTTAAATCTATTAACCATTTTGATTTCTAAATAATATACATTTATCAATTTCTTTTATTTTATTTAAATATATTTGCATTGAATATGATATTGATGCTACGACAGTCTTATCGATGTTACGATTTCATTATTGTATAATAAATTATTTTATATTATAGCTTACCCGCCACCGATAGTTATCATTCTCGAATCCGCGGCCATAAATAGTTCAGCCGAGTGATGTACTCTGGAATCGTTGTGCGATGAATCCATGCCTATCCAAGGATACTTGGCTCGCTCAGGATATAAGCTGAACAGGAATGTCTCGCCAGTACCAAAATACGCTTGTCTGTGCCCTCTGTCATCTTTCAAATTACGCTCGCACCATCTTGTCGAACAGTAAGCTCCAAATACCTGAAAAACATTGTTTAATAAAATAAAACATGTTAAATTTTTAGATTTCCAATAAAATGTTTAAACAAATTATATTTATTTATCGGAATATATTGCATGAGTGAAAATAAAAATTTATTACAATAAATATACATAATAAGCACATAGTGCACATACACACACAAACGGTTTAGATATATACATATAAAAATTATTTGTTATAAGCTATTTAAAATTAGAAAAACTTTCTGCACACAAATTTGGTTTAAAAGAGAAAATATAATGATGCGATTAAATATTCTTTGAGAATTATTTTTTTTGTACCAATATTTTAGAATTATCTTAATTTTTTTCATGAAATCATGTATGTGACTTTAATTACTAAAAAATGTCTGAATAAATTTAGTGAAACGTATAAAAAGATATAGCATATGTAATTTATATCTAACATTACCACTTTGCTAATGAAAAAAAAAAAAATAAATATTTATTAAGGAATAAAGATATTTTTTTTACCTCGTTGTTACAGGTTTTTATCATCAGAAGGGTCGGCTCGTGTTGCTCAACTCGTACATAGAACGTCGTTAACGAGCATCCATGTTCCTCGGTCGTATATAACAAAATAGGCTGGTACATCGTGATTCTCATCGGTAGCCACGACCATAAGGTAAATAACTGGCAAATAAACAAATTCACATTATTAATCGGACATAAAAAATGAGACAATTTTTATAATTGTGCAAACATTAGTTTTCAACGGCTCACTAATAAAAGAATCAAACTAAACCACGGTAAAACATGCGCTCGATTGTGACATTAAATTAAAATGATTATCAGCTGTATTACCGAAAAATACAGTAACCGACATGTTAATAAAAATTGAGATTTGTATTTTCAACGATGACAAAAGTCATTGTTTGTTGAACATAATTTTATCTAAGATATAATGAGCGAAAAATACAAAAACATGATATGATTGAATTAAAGACCTTTTGGGCGAAAATTTTTTTGTCATATTTTCTTGCTTTTCAGCATTTTACCGCTTATGCGTTTACTGTGTTTTTCCATAACGAGATGATAACGAAGCAGAAATATATCAAAATTTATTTGTTGGTAATTATCTATCTTATAGATTGTATAATCATGAAAGATTTAATTGTGTGATGTAAATTTACACGTGTAGTCGAATTAAAAAATATAATGGATATTTGCGAAATATTTTAACTCTTCCCGCACATACATGCCACGAAAAAAAAACTTGGCTATATTCTTAAAAGAATAATATAACATTTGTCATCTCATTATTTCTTATGCGTTAATTGTTTATAATTGACATAGGAACAGTTTTACGTTCCAATTCGTAATTATGCACATTGGCACTTATAACTTCGTAATTCGTAACTTTGTTAATTAATTATGGTAAATATTATTCTGATACCAATATTCTGATTAAATTATTCTTATATATAATATCTTACACATACGTATACATATCTCTACACATTTACACATACGCACACATATCTCTATAAAAAATATATCCAAAATAAGAGAATAATTAGTATGTTTCCTATTTATATTATATAAATGTAAATATCTTCTTATAAATATTAATTCTAATAATAAAACGTGTTTTTATTTTGCTTATGTGGGATGTCACCAAAATATATAATGATATAACAGATATGATGTGCTGCCGAAAATAAACATCCGTATTCTTTTGCAAAATCAGTGCATAATGTCATTCGTCATGCAACACAGTCAGGATACAGCATCACTCAGTTAGAGATAAAAATACAGATGGATGTTAACAAGACGCCAACATGGATTCTTGCGTTAGCGATGATAAATGCATTCTTTTCAGCTGCACATTCTGTTTTTTTATTCGGTTTTCCTCTTTACACTCTCTTTCTTCCTCTAATACAGGGAAATAGTTCAAGAAATATTTGTTTTATCTACTATCAATTACTTACACATTTTAATTTTGAATGATATGCCTCTATTTATATCTTTCAAGACTCCTTAGCGCACAAAGTAAATCTTCTCCGATTATATTCCTTATCTTAAAAAGTGATATCGTAAGGATTATCGTATAAAGTATTTCAGTGTCATTCTGAAAAACGCTCTGTATATTGTACGGTATACATTTCTTGACGATTGCATGTATACCAACGACGACAATATCGACATGCAAGCCTAAAGACCTATACTACTCGACGGAGCTTTCGAATTTTAATTTGATCAATGAAAGGACGGCCGTATGAGAGTACTTACATCAGGCATATCTAGGATCTGGGAGCATATACTTTGTATGGGGTAAACACCCATTGACAGGGCGCGTGGTCCAGGACTGTGTGCGCCCTATATACCCGGTATCATTTAATCCATCATTCCAGTGAAGGCAGCACAACACAAGACAGCACAAACACGTCAGTTACATCGATGTACAGTGCTCAGCGCGTTAACGGTACCGGTGCAAACGGTAATTTGCATGTACCCACCGCACGAATATTCCAAGGGGGAATGGATATTTTTTTGTAATGTAAACTTAAAAAAAAGAAGGCATGGTGTGCAAATACTTGTTTCACTCGTGTTGCGGATAATACATTTTCGTGAATTTAATTTTAACGAACTTGTCATTTTTATCATACGGCTCCTGATCTTTGGCTGCTGGATTCACATTAAAATTATTATCGAAGAATCATATAAATTCTTTTTTCTTGCACTATACATCGAAATAGATCTATCTTTTTGCATGCTATAATTTGTTTTGGAGAGAACACATTTATGAAATGTGCTGAAAAGACTAATTTGGATTAATAGATGGCTGTGTAAACCTTGATCTCAATTGTCATATACATAAAGACTATTCTCGCATAATTTTAGACCATAAAAAATTAGAGGTCCGCGCAAGATTTGTTGAAATACCAAGAAACTCAATCTCCTAATAGAGTAGAATGTAATATAATTCAATATGTATAATGAAGACTCATCTAACATTATCACCAGTTCTTAATTCCTTTCCTACTATGATAAAAAAATGTTGTTAATTACATAAGAGAGGATATAGAGGTAAAACCAACAGTTTTAATCACATTAGCTTCTATGATAAACTTGAGGACGATTTTTCCTCAGCGAAACTACCAAAGAAGTTCGATATTTTTGTTGCACAATTTTTGATGTTATATATACCTAAAAATTAACTAAAAATGTAATTTTCTCATCTATTTGTTTCTATCGCGTATTAATAAAATTACGAATTTATGGGCTATAAAAAAACTAATTTAGATGTTTGTCGAGTGATAGATACGATGTATGTGAACAGAGTTATATCTATGAAAAGCATCCTCTATAAAGCTAGTATAATACCTGCATTGGTACAATAGTTACATTAAAAAAAATTAAGTTATGAATTTGTAATAGGTAACACAGAGAGAAAGTTTTTGATATTAAACACTCGCTCTCTCTAAATCAAGTTTCGATCAAAATCATTTAATTAAAATAAGATCCTGTTTTTTATATTTATTATACTTTCATAATTGCAATCCGCATTGATACACGCGGAGTCGCACCGAAAAGCCAGCGAGAGTTTCACATTATGCGTTGCAATAGATATGGCGAGATTATTGTGGTTATTATCGTATCGATAAGGAGACGTATTAGAGGAATCACTGCGAATAGATATAAGTAATAACAGCGACAAAGCTGGCACGACAAATGTATGGCAATGAGTGAGTAGAATGAGTGTAATATAAATAATATCTCAGAGAATATAAAGGAAGGGATAAGGGAGTGGGCAGAGCACAATGAAATTGACAACACATTTCCCAAAAAGATAATTATACGATACCCTGTCTTTGTACGTGTCTTCACATTCTTTCTGAAAACAAATGGAATCATTGAGAGATTCAGAGGTTCACCAAACCCTACAAGAGTCTACTTTAACACGCTGGGCTATACAAAGCGGAGATTGAAATCAGTATATAGGATGTTCAATAAATTATGATACAATCGATTTAAAGGGACAATTCTTCTCATGCAAAAAAAATTCAAAATCAAGAAAAATCAATATCTTTTACTTGGTTTTTTTTTTCATGAGAAATTATCTGTTTATTGGTTGTATCATTGATTTATTATAGCATTCTGGAATTTCGTCGAGTTGAGATTTGAACATCATAGGCATGCACACTAATGATCCTTACGTTTATCCGTGAGCAAACGAAACGCGATAATCGGCATAAGGTCTTTTCTTGCATACCTGTAACATCGAAAATCGAACTCAACGAAATTATAACTGTTTCAATCTTTTGTTACAAAATAAGAGGAATCATATGGAGCAACCAAGCTAAAAAGACCCCTATCATTTCTTAAAAATTGAAAGAGATATGTACAATAGATTGTAAAAAATAAAGTTTATATTTAATCGTTTTTCATGTTGAGTATCTGAGGAGCATCTTCATTTTTTTATTATTAAAAATATTCATATTAGTTTTTCGAATATCGAATATTTTGATTAGATAATAGCCGTTTCATAACAATTAATTGCTGAACGGCATTCATATTTGGCCGTAAATAATAAAATCGCGCAAAAAATAATCATTAATCATATGACAAACTACATTTCAAACCGATAAAACTTTTATGATTCGTAAATAAACTGTTAGATCAAAGTTCATTGTACCAATCCTGAAAGACATAACTATATTTTATTAAACAGTGATATATAATTTATGAATGGATAAAGTTCCCTCTCCTTTTCTCAATATGAGCAATTTTTACGGATTATTGTTATTCCTACAATGAGATCAATTCACACTATTAAATTTAAGCTTTATTTTTGTTATCTATTTCCCTTTCTTTTTAGGAAATAAAAGGGGCTGGTTAATAATTAATACTGGGATAATAAAACACATTGCACACCATATATAAAATTAGAAATATTTCATATTTGCCATCTGAAAGTTTCGTCAATTAAAATTACAATCGTGCATACAAATTCTAGATATAGGTTTTCACACAATCAGATGTTAGAGTTCTGTTTTTGGAATTAATATTTCTGCAACAAATATTGCAATTTATAATGTTCAATTTAAATTTATTATTTAATTTTAATATATCTAATTTGTTGCATATTGAATTTATATTAAATCTATAATATCATAAATTCTCTTTAATATTGCTAATTTAAACACGCTATTTTAGGACTTAGATTGTTGAAAATATGTCATTTTTCTAAATGAAAGCAATTAAAATAAAAAATAAATAAAAAGATTGTCGAAATAAGATTCAAAAAGATATAAAATAAAATCTAATTTATCAATTAATTTTCACACTATAAAAAATACATTGAAAATTCCACCACTAACAGAACTTCTATACATGTCTTTAGAATATCCAATATAATAAAAATCAAAAACAGAAATGTTGTGCGCGATGTGTATATATTACATCCACAAAAGCATGCTGAAAAAATTAAATATTTATAAAAATTATCATCATTTTTTACTAATACCATTTTCTTATGTTAGCGATCCAATCGCATTTATATCATTACTACCTATCAAATCAATTTCTTTTATCAATCTGTAATTAATAAATATTTGTAAAATTACATTTTTCTAGATATCTTAACGCAATCAGTTTTTCTCATTCTTTACTTAATAAATATTTGCAAATCATAGAAGCGTCTTGAGATTAATTTTTCTTGAAAAAATATTGTCAAAGAAATCGGTCAAAAAATCCACAATAAAAAGGATATCTGTTCATTTTGAGACGATCTATATACGTGATATTAAAATCCCAATTATTTTAATCAATGGATATGCTAAATGTATATATAAGCAAAATGTTATTAATAAACTCGACTAAATACGGAAAGTTAGTAAAAAGATAGATAGATGAACAACATACTTCTCGTATTGTGAGTGTGTGTGACATCATCTGAATATTGACTTGGGACTGACTGGTAGGCAGATTGTCTGTCGAGCGTGATCTGGCTAAGGATCGGGGTCCCGTCAAGACACTCTTACTCTTGAGAGCCATTTCCGTGCGTAGAAAGACCCGTGATATGTATGCTGAGCTGAGTCCGCGAATCCCAAAAGCAGTGCGCAGAAACTTGGCGGGCGTCACCTGAAAATTGATAAAATGCGATTTTTAACATTATTCTTGAAAATTAGAACTTTGCAAGATTATAAAATACAACAAAGAATAAATACTAGTTGAGTAAACTGATAAATAGGAGCCGAGGCGCGGTAATTGAGAGTGCGTAAACTTTTTGTTGTTTAATTTTATTACCAAGTATGCATTAAATATGCTTATTTACTGCATACTTAATGCATATTTAATGCATACTTGTTAATGAAATAAAATAACAAACAAGTTTATGCACTAATTATCGCGCTTCAGCTCCTATTTGGCAGTTTTCTCACCTAGTATCATTAGCAGTCTGAGCCTATTTCTGTTATTATCAAAAAATAAATATTTCTTTACAAAAAAGTAATATTACAGAGTAAATTTATCTAATATAGAAAGACAAAAATATTGTTTATATTTTTCTGTTTGTATATTTAAATAAAAATATTTTGTTTTTGGTAAAAGTTTTAGGGAAATAACTTTATTGTATCTTGAATTCATTAAAATATAATATCCATTAAAATAGAAAAAGCTGATATCCAGGAAAGAGCAGGTATGTTTGAAACTAAATTTTACATGATTTTACAAACCGACACATTTGTAGAAAGAAAAGTATTATAAAAGGAGGAACACAATGGAAATGTTGAAAATACAAATGCATCAAATCACACAATAAATGGTACTATTGATAAACACAGTACATATTTTAGATTTTATTACTTACTGGTATTTGTCTACAAAACTTAGATAGAGCAGCATCTATGCCATTCCTCGAAATCTCATTCATCCATTCCGAACTCTGCGACGAAGAATGCTTATAGAATAATAAAACTATAGCCATAGCAACCCGATAGAAGACCTGAAAACAAAAATTTAATCACGATTATTTATGATAATTATATTTAGTTAAGGTAATACATCTTTAATTTAATGCTTGTATTTAAAAAGTGTATTGATGCGCATAAAGAGAGGAATTCGCTGACGGTTTATATCGAAATGATACAATTGATAATCTTAAGCACGTGAAAATATTGACGAGATAAATACATATCGTAGCTATGACGCAAGTTATTTGTTATGATATGTAATACCGTAAAACTAATAATAGATCGACATTTCTGCGCGTTACAAAACTTGTAAAACAAAATGTTGCAATCTTTGGATCCACGATTGTATATGATCGCGTATATATCCGTAAAGAATACTTTTGTGCACAATATGTTATACAGGGCATAAAAATTCCTGCAAACAACTTTCCGCTGGCACCAAGTCAATCATCGAATTTAACATTTGTCCTATTCCTAGAATATAAGTGCATTGCACAGAATACATATAACATGCGATTCATCTTTATCTATCAGTTGGAGAAATGCCAATTTTTCTCGCATTTTATATGTATGCTAGATGTCTCACGTCAGGCTGTTTCTCGACTGATTTTGACTTGAATGCATAATCAAAATAAATGTCCGGAATTTTCCGTTAGTTTTAATACAGTTTAAATTAGTTCTCGGAATTCTTCAATGATTGAATATGACATATTATTTTATGTATATATATATCGAAAAAATTTATATTACCTGTTAAGACAGAGAGAAAGAGTGGGAATAAAAGATCAAAGATAAAGTATAAACTCACCTTAATGCCTTCGTGAAGAAAACAGTCCATAACCCTGACTAGATGTTGAAATGGAAGAAGTTGAAGAATCCACCAGATCCAGTCCATGTAGATTCTTTCTGCTCTTGAGCCGGAGCAATGCCTCGCTAAATGTACAGCAGCTGATTTCTTAAAATTGTGAATTGAGAAATACCATTTTATATGTAGTATATATTTATTAAAACATATATATATAAAGAGAGAATGTATATGTGTACGAGAGAGAGAAAGAGAGAGAGAGAGAGAGAGAGAAAGAGCGGAAAAGAAAAGAAGTAAGCTATCCAATTGGAAATAATACTATCTAATGAATATAATATCTATAGCTTCAACTTTAATTAATTGCTACTTACGACGTGTTTTTTGGTGATCTGTTCTACGGTTTTCCACGTAACTTCGTAAAGCAGTTTAGTTTGCGTGATGAACATTTTCTCTTTGGCTGCTACCAAAGTGGCCATACAGTGATAACATTCCTCCTCTAAAAAATAATATTTCAAAAATAAGTAGCGGTATATTATATTCACAGTAAATAAGTTTTTTATTACCATATATAATAAATTTACTTATACTTTAGGCCTCAACTCATTGCATTAAAAGATGCGTAAAATCGTAAATAACTCATTAATGATTATCGATTAAAAGTAATATTGTAATTACATATGCAACTGACAAAAGTTCTCATAAGTAACTGCAATTAGTAACTAATAGTATATATTCAAAAGTATATTGAATATAAGTATATGTATGAATGTACATAGATGTATCGCAGTATAATGTATGTATGCATGTATGTATGTGTGTGTGTTTGTGTGTGTGCAACAAAAAACGAATCATCGTGTAAATATAAGTCGAAAATACAGAACAAAATTTTTCCGTGACTTATATTTTTCGGGAAAAACTTTCAAGATTGAAAAATTAAGTCGAAGTTAAACATTATTAAACCTTTACCATATTTTTCTATCGTCAATTATAAAAAAATATGACCTGTTCAAACTGCGTGACTCACTTTGTATATACAGATTGCCCTCACTAAGCGCATTTTCTTTCAACTGCGGCTTCTTTGGCCAATTTTGAGTCGATTTTCCCTTACCGAAAAAAAAGAAAATATATATTATTTCTCGCTTTGTACCGTAAATTCGTTTTGGCCGCAAATTCGCGATATTTTATTAGTAAAGCGAGAAATAATTACATTCTTATAACGTTTAATGTGTCAAGTTATTATTGACTTTTAGCGTAAACTTAGTTTTAACTCACCTGGCACAAAATGCAAGAGAAGTGCAGTTAATGGATAAAGGGACGGGCTGTAGGTGATGTCAGGACAAGCGTATCCCAGTACCGATACGATTCTGTCCGCTACGTTTCTGCCCTTTATCGTTAAATTGTAAGATAAGCAATGTGTACTATCGACGAACGGTGGTAGCATGATTGACTTTTCTGGTAATTCTGCACAGACAAATTATTTCAAATATTATATAAATGTTCAAGGATCTTTTTTACAAGAGCAAAGAAAGTTAAATATAGTTAACAATTATATAAAAAAAGAGAGAATATTAAACATTCTTCTGGAAAATCTGGAATCTTTAGAAATATGTAACTAACATAACTTTTTCATCGAATTGTATATTAATTGTAAGATAGAAAAAGCTATCATTTAAGGCTGTATATGTCTTTCAATAATTATGGAAAAAATTAATATTTTTATTAACGTAATATTAATTTAATTAACGTTTAATTTTTAAGTTAAGAACGTTATAAATGTACGATCAAGTAAGATTAACAATCCAATCGCGTTGCTATTATATAATATTAATTTGTCCCTTTACGAAAGATAGTATAAGTGCGTCAGCAAATATAAGATGAAAAAAAATAACCGAAAAAAGATTCTTGGCGTATTTACTAACCTGTTGTTCCAAAGACTTGATTCACCATGTCCCAATAGAATCCGTTGAGCATGTTTTTGCCTTGCGCGTGTTGATTGCAGAGTGCCGGCCAGAGTTGCGCCCTAATGCCGTTGTTGAGCGGCCAACCGTTCTCCCGTATGATCAGCTTTACTTCCCGTTTTCTTGGCGGTTCGGCTTGTAGCAGTGCGTTCACCTCGGTGAAGGTCTTCAAGGTTTGCTTCTTGTTGGTCGGCGACTCCGGCTGTATGACAATGTTGCTGGTATCGACGTGCGGCGGGAACGCGTCGTCGATGTTCGCCGCCTCCTCCTCGAGCACCGACAACGTTTTCGGGGGATTGTCCATCGGGGAGGCAGTCACTAACATTGCTTAACTACGGCGCGAGTTTTGTCATGGCGGCCACTCTGGCGATTTTCATTCACCCACCTGCTATCTACGTCAGGTCCTGGGATGTTTCAATTTTCATCTGAAAGAGAAAAATCCGTATGAGATATGTATGTATGTAAGACGACTATTTTTACCATGGTAATAAAAATTTATCTTTATCTCAATTAATAAGATAAGGTAATTTGGTGAATACAATTTAATACAGGTAATACAGTGTTTCTTCGTTACAAGATTGTTATTTGATATTGATAGCTGTCTTCTAACGAAAGTACTTTACCTTAGCTTCTATTTATTTTTCAGGAACTGTCTCATAAATCTTACCGCTAACTCGTCTGGATGAAAATAAGACAATCGAGCCAGCGAGATAGAATAACAGTTTTATAAAATAGACTAGTTTAACTTTTAGTATTAAATAAAGTTTATATTGAAGAGATAACTCGCACTAACTTCTAATACGCAAAAATTTTTTTTTTGTGATGAGGAAACACTATATTTCATTATAGATGTAAACAAATAAATTATCATACTTTTACTTATAACATAATATACAATCAAACTTCTGTATCTCTTTTATTCTATATTTTTTTATACTCTTTATCATTTCCTTTCTTGTTGTTATACTTCATATTTGTCTCTTGAATATAAACATGCGTAGGAGGAAAATATCATGCACATAATAAATTCAAAACAGATCCGTTTGAAATAGAAGAAAATATTCAGTATCACCATTTATCACAAGTATAAGAGTAACATATTTTATTTTTTTACATCTGTAAAAAGAAATATTACTAAATTAACTTATTTTAATTTGCGTTGCAAACAACAATAATTAACCATTTTGTTTCATTTGTTCTCATAATTAATTGCCTAATTTTACTTTGCTATTTTATTTAAAATTCAAATTCAAATTGTTCAGAGAGATATGTATCTCCAGATCCAAACGCGAATAATTCAATATGGTTTCGAAGAAATTGCTCGATTATCGGAGAAGTTTTGTGTGTTCGCAAGAATATTATAGAATAAGTTCAAAAAAACAGAGTATCATATATATTAACTCTTTCTTTTCGCGACAATTACGCAATACGGCTAAATACGGCTGAATAATAATACATCCGATTGCAACATCGTTTAAAGCTCGTAAATTCGCACGAGTTCTCTGAGATAACGCTTTAACGCTTACTGTGCACATCTGTTGCTATCGCATTGCAACAACATCCTTCTCTTGGCTTCGTCTTCGCGCTTTCTCGCGCAACTCATTTTACGACCAAAATCAATTGTCTCGTTGTAAGAGTGCCAGCGTAAACAAGCCTGGCGAATACGTATACAGTAAGCCGCACCACGTGCTCGCTTTTTTTACCGCATGAGTAATTCGGATTCGCGCGAATACACTATTTGTCATACGTATGTCTTAACATTTCACTAAATTCATATTCGTTTAACATTTCCAAATTTAACATTTCCATCAAACATATCGCCTTTAAATATTCATTATAATATGCATTTAAATACGTATTATATAATTGTATTGGTTAAAAACGTTTCAAACTATATATATACTTTTTTTAATTTATTGGTCAATTTAATATGTAATATGTAATATGTTAGTTTTAATTGTTAGTTTTATGTTTAAGTTAGCCTTGCATATATATATGTATATATATATATATATATACATCATATATTTATGTACTGTTAGCTGTCTTAAACATAACTCTGAGTCATGACGCAAGAATATTTATAGAGATATTTCAGAAATTATGTTATTATCTCATTATTGATTATTAAAAAATTAGTGCTACAAAGATAAACTGCGTTCGCAAAATTTATTACAATTCTTTTGGGAACAACGCATTGAGATACTTGGAAAATTATTTTTTCAGTAGTGTAAATATAAGAATTTAAAGAGGATATATATATAGAGAGATATCTGTTTTTTCAACTTGAAAACTTAAATACGAAGATACTTGCTAAAAAAGACCCTATTAAAATCGATAAAGATATGTCGCAAAAAAGTGACTGTTGAAACTATATAGCGACAATGTGAAAACTTTTCAATTTGCAAATAGAGAGTACTAATTTCGAATTTTAAAAATTTCACGAATTGAGAAAACATATATCGAGCTTAATTATTATAGCAAAAGTCTATTGTTCATTAATAATGAAAAAAATGGAGAATTTTATATACATATATTTTTTAAAATTATACTCTACATTACTTTAATTTTTATATTCTAATAGCTATGAAATAAAACAGATAATAACATTAATTACGAGATTTGTAATTATTTCGTGTTATGAAACGCGACTGGATTACTGTCTAAAAAAAAAAAAAAAAGCTTCCGTCAGGCATTGACCTGTCATCAGACACGCGAACGGCAAGCGGAGACAATGAATATATAATATTAGCATATAATTAACGCGAGAAAGAGCTGTCGCTAATAATAAAACAGCTCGGCCAGATGCGAAAGCATGAGTAGCTATAATCTTAGTGTACTTAACGGTTATTAATAAAAAGCGCGTGTTATCTTTCTACCATGAACATGCGTTCAGTGCTTATCAACACCATGTGCTATTCATGAGATACACTGTGATATTCATAAAGACATTGTGCGGACAAAAAACTTTGTAATATTTTTAATTATCTCAAAACATTCTCACAAATATTTTATATTTTATATATT